GGAAATGAGGAAGGAGCTGGAGAGACAGGTGTTGACTCCAATACAACCTAAGGAGTCAGGAAATGGGAAACTGAGAGATCAGCAGAGTTCTCTGTGTGAATGTGACAGATTGGAACCCTGGAGCGAACATTTTGACGATGAAAAGATCAGCCTTGGTCTCATTTTTATTTATCTTTCTTTGACTTAAATACCAGGAAATCATATGCAAGCACAGAGTCTAAAAGATAAATGACATACAATAAATCATGCTGCTTTTTCCACAGCAAGATCTCAACTCAAGATCAGCTTTCAGGGTGAGGACTGGGGTTTAGATCAATAGTCCACACTGAGTTGTTCAGTCATCATCTTGTTGGTCTGGAAGAAGAGCCCAGCCTGGCTATTGAGCCCAGCGTGACGAGAAACAGGAAGACTCAGATTCTGCAGGAAGAGCCACCACCATACCTATAATCGGTCTTGTTCAGGAAAGTTTGTTACGAAAATCAATTTTGTTTTTTGACAGGTTTGCAGAAAATATCGAACCATGCAGTTATGGATAGATGTCCTTATTCCTCTGCATAGATTTGAGTTGGCAGAATGTCTTACTGCATGTTTTTCTTTTTCAAATTGCCACTTTTGATTGGTGTCTTTTCAAATTCTGTTTTGAGGACTTTGATGTTTATTTTAATAAACGGATACATTTTGCAGGAAGCTTTTGAGGAAAAGATTGTTTTGAAAGACTAAGTGGTTTAAGAGGGTCGGTTCACATGCCTTGAGTTGCATGATAGGAAGCTGCACTTGCGTATGGAAACCATATTTACTCCCATATGAAATGCTCAATAGGCCCTCCCTGGTGGCGCAGCGGGTTAAAGCACTGCACTAAGAAACTTAAGCCACTTCTGCATGAGTTCAAACCCCGCCTGCCCTGGAGGAGATCCACATGGCGTGACAGACCTCTCCTGACCCGCCCGCTGCTCCCCTCAGCAGTGTACTTCGTTGATCTGCCTGTTCTGCACTCCGCTCTGTCTCTGATGAATCCTCTCACCCTCCACATCTCTGGCCTGTACCCCAGTTCTGTACGAATAAATAAATAAATCTTTAAAAAAATAAATAAATAACATGCTCAGTAACACACTTGGGATTTTCTTCCGTGTGTTCCAGCTCTGCCTTCTCTCATGGAGACAGGTGTGAAGGTGCAGAGCTGCAAGCCTGAGTATCAAAATTTCTTCAGTACTCTTGTTCAAGATTCTTTAAATATACCTGTCAAAATTCACTGAAGATTAACCTCTGGGATGTGAAGTTGGGGAAGGAAGAGAAAAGAAAAAAAGATTCCTTTTTTTTGTTTGTTTGTTTCTAAAAAGCTGTATTGGCTTCTTTTTATTTTTTTATTTTTAAAGTAGGGGAATCTGTTTTTTGTTTTTTTTTTTTTTTTTTTTTAAGATTTATTTATTTGTGCATATAGAGCTGGGGCACAGGCCAGAGGCTCAGGGGCGGCGAGAGGCCCCACCAGAGACAGAGCGGGGAGCAGAACAGGCAGATCGACGAAGTACACTGCTGAGGGGAGCAGCGGGCGGGTCAGGAGAGGTCTGCCGCGCCATGTGGTCACCTCCGGGGCAGGCAGGGAATCGAACTCATGCGGAAGTGGCCATAGCCTCTCAGTGCTGTACTTTAACCCACTGCATCACCAGGGAGGGCCTTGGCTTTTTATTTAATGAAAGTTGGGCCCCTAAGTGACCTTGCCTGGTATGTGTGCTCAAACAATTTGGATGAGAAAAAAGGAATTGATATTGCTGGAGAGAACTTGGACACACATGCTCACCTTCCATACTGAAGTTGCTTTTAATCTGCAAGAACACCATCGGGCACATGTGAAGCTTGTTTGCTTCCTTCAATCTGGTTCATTCTAATCCAGTGTTGGGGATGGAGGGGGAGGGAGAGGGAGACACTGACAGAAAGGAGAGGGACAGGGGGAGAAGGAAACAGAGGAAGAGGGAGAAGAGTAGGGGAGCGAGAGGAGGAGAGAGAAGGAATGAGGGGGCAGGGGAGGGATAGGAGGGGGACAGGGTGGAGAAAAATGGCAAATGCGTAATGCGTAATGACGGGAGTAGAAACAGATCCAGAAGTGGATAATAAAGAGGCATCCCCATGGTTTGTTGAAAATGAGGAAGGGGAGGGAGGGTGAAACAGATGGGCCATTAGGCTGTGAGGCTGTGGCATTTGGAAGCCAGAGTTCCATTCTCATGAAACTGTGAATAAACAGTTTGGAAATAGTCCATGATATTCTTTCCTGATACTGATTTCATTCCATTTGACTCAGGGCATGGAAAAGCAAGTGTTGGTTAGATGCTCTCACTGTAATGATTATGCTGGTGCGTATACTTCTAACATATTTTGACTTCAGCGTAACTGACACTTAGGGTTCAATACCAGTCCATTGAAAGACAGGGGATCTTCCTGAAGTGGTGGTTGGTTGCAAGACAGACTCCTGGCTGAGGGTCTCTCTCATAGAATGACATGCCTGATGTGTGTTCTTACAATTGCATGTTGCTGTGGAGCGGGAAGGGACTACAGCAGTGTGAAATCAACACAGACTAAGCACATGAGGACAGGCAAGGACTGCTGACTGGGAGCTGCCGCTGCTTACCTACAGCCAAGCAGACAGTGCCTCCCTCACATCTGGCACAAGCTCAGAGGCAGGATGAAGTGTGGAAAGCTCTAAGCTCTAAGCTTCAAGTGTGTCCTGAGAGGAAGAGGCTTCAGTCTGGGGATGCTCAACTGGGATTACTAGATCTGTGGGTTCCAGACACTTGGGCTATGGTTGGTCTTAGGTGTGAAGAAGGAACAAAGTTCAGAGCAGCTGTCAATGGCTAATCCAGTCCAGTTGCTCTGCAGATGGTGGTTTTGACTCCGAGCTGGCTACTGTGGACAGAAGGTCAGGGTTCTTTTTACTTGGGACTTGGTAGTTTTCCACTTGTGTAATCCATCCCTCAGTGATTATCCAATGCAGGTAGAGAAAGATGGAATGCATTCACACAGGGCACTTAGCTATCATTTATTAATACTCCTTTCTCGTGAGTGGTTCCCAGTTTTCAGAATATTTATGAAAGATAGAATATGGCTGGTTCCTTCCAGTCCAGTTGGGAAAGATCAGCAGGGCCAGTATTACAGGTTTTCCCCGTGTTGTGAAAAGAGACAGTGTTGTGACGGGTTACCTTTTGGGTCTGGGAACAGTATTTCCATTCGTTTTTTAAAGCATGTTTTAAAAATTGGAATAAAATAACCGTTTCATCTGGTCTTTATGAAACTACACAAAAGATAAATCACTTTATCCATCTCCAGATCTTTTCCTTTCTTTCCACACCCCAACCATAGCTTTACACTTTATCTTTCTTACTACGTTGATGTTCTTTCCTTTCTCCCACTTGCTTACATTCCAAATTCTGCTCTGGCTTCAAGTTCCTTCTCCAGGGCAACCGGCTCCACAATGTCTCCCCTTTGCGTCTTCCACACTGCCCCTCCCAAACAGTGGGAAGAAACAGTTTGCCTTCTCTCACCTGTCAAGACAATTATGACAAGCTGTAAGTCTATATTTTATCTTTTCCCTGGGATCTGTTACAGTTAATTTATATGGAAAAAAAAATTGGAGCATTCCAAGTAGACCAAATAGGAATGTTCTCCTTTTGGATATTGGGGGAACCTATTTTTCCTTTTTGTAGTTAAGAAAACGGGGCTCCAAGAGAGGAAACCCGTGCTGAGGAGTAAGAGTCACCCATGTTTTAGGTACAAAGCTGGACTCTTTGGACATCTCACCCTGGGCCACTGACAGTCTTAAACCTATCCAATCTGCACCACAGATTCCAAGAACAGGGAGCCAATGTGTGACATTTGTGTTATAACATGGCTGAAACCTTAATGTGCATTTAAACCTAAATGTAAACAAAGCAAACTGCAGATTCTCTAAAGCCGTTCTACATATGTTTTCTCTACCATCTCCATCAAAGATTCAGAATTTGAATTAAACTTTCAAACTCTTAGAGCCAGCTTTTTTGAAATACTGGTTTTCAAGTTCCCTGCAATCCATGCCTGACACTCATTAGATTCACTTGACCCACGAGGAGGGTTAGCACTCTAAAACCGCCTTTAGGGCCCTCCCTGGTGGCGTAGCAGGTTAAAGCACGGCACTGGGAAGTTAAAGCCACTTCAGCATGAGTTCAGTCCCTGCCTTCCCCGGAGGTGACCCATGTGGCGCAGCAGACCTCTCTTGACCCGCCTGCTGCTCCCCTCAGCAGTGTACTTCATCTATCTGCTTGTTTTGCTCCCCACTTTGTCTGTGAATCCTGTCACCACCCCTGCACCTCTGGCCTATACCCCAGTTCTGTATGCACACATAAATAAATAAATAAATAAATAAATAAATTAAAAAAAAGGAGACTAAGCTGCTGTCTTAGATGTTTAACTGGATAGGAGAGACCAGTAGTGAGAAAGTGTTGGCTCAGTATCTGAAATGTTAAATTTGGAGTATCTATAGGGCACCCAGATGGATTCATCCAAGAGGCAGTTGTATAAATGAGTGTAAAGCTCATGAGAATTGTCTAGACTTTTGATAAACTATTCAGAGATCTCTAACAATCAGACAATTGCTGGTTGTGCTTTTACAGTTTTACATCATTGTGGTAGTGCCGTCCATGAAAAGTGAGAAATTAAGCAGTGAATGTATAGTGCTCTTTAAGAAGTTTTCCTGAAGACAGACTCTAGAAAACTCTTCTAAAAAAGATGCAAGCTTCCTTGAGGTTCTCCTCTTCTAAAGAGAGAACAATTTCCACTGAGCCTAATGTAAACATCTTAAAAAAAGTGTCCTGTGTGATCTCGGCCACTTTTCTATTTTTTATATTGTGTCATATAAATCGAAATATCTAGTCTTATACTGAAAGTTTTTTTCAGGAATCATTCTTTAATTTATAAAAGGTATCTGGGAAAGATGTTTGACATTTTTTTCATGGAATATAATTCTGATTAATATGCAGAATCCACAGAGGAGCTGAAAGCCCGCAGCCATAGCACGGAGCCAATACCAAAGCTGGACAGCAAAGAGAGAGAGCATCACGGGCCGTCTTCCTCCAGAGAGCCTGTTAAAGCTCAGGAATGGGACGGAACACCTGGGCCACCTGTCGTCACCAGCAGACTGGGAAGATGCTCTGTGAGCCCCACCTTGTTAGCAGGAAACCACAGCTCAGGTAAGGACGGTTCTGATCTCCCGCAAGGCCAGTCCACATGTCTCCTGAGACTGTTTTCATGCAGTTCTCACTGAGCGAGCAAATGAGCTCATGTCTGCCTCTGCTCACAGGGGCCGCAGAAGTAGCTTCTCCCACGCAGTGCTGTGAGGATCATCGTGGTGCCCCGGGAGTGGTGCTCACGCGGGCAGAGGCTAAGGCACTTCTCAGGGCTGTCGATGTGGCAGCCCTGACAACAGCTGCAAATATCTTGTACTAAATTCCTCCAGAAAGAGCCAGAGGAAACGGCCAAGTGAACTAAGACAAACCCCAGCATGTGACTGCAGAACTGAAACTACTAGCGACAATTCTCCTGCCCACCTGTAACTCTGCAGGTACCTCTTTTCTCCCTTTCCTAATAAACCTGTCCTTAAAAAAAAAAACAAAAAAAAACAAAAAAAAAGGCCCTCCCTGTTGGCACAACGGGTTAAAGCACAGCACTATGAAGTTACTGCAGCCCCTGTAGCACTAGTTCGATCCCCGGCCAGGGAGCTGACCCACACGGCACAGCAGACCTCTCCTGACCCACCCACTGCTCCCCTCAGCAGTGTATTTAGTACATCTGGCTATACTGCTCCCCGCTCTGTCTCTGGTGAGCCATCTCACTCCCACACCTGTACCCCAATTCTGTATGCATAAATAAATAAATCTTAAAAACAAAACAAAAAACCTGAAACTAGTAGAAGGGATGGAAACTCATTGGTCTATGGTAAAAGGGATCAGGGACCATGGGGCTTTGGTGGTGACTGAGTACAGTGACTTACAGCTGAGGAGGGGTGAGACTATTTCCCTATATTGAAAACAGTTGTAAACCCGTGTTACCTCAAAAACAGATAAATAAATACATAGGTACATGCCTAGGTACATATACACCATTGTGGGGGGGGCATTAAGAGTCTTCATCTAAAGCAGGTTTAATTCATAAAGCTTAAGTAACTTACAGTTTGTTCTCCAAAAAATATTTTAGGCAAAAAGGAACAAATGAGCAGAAAGTAAAATTGAGAGCAAACTTGTAACCAAGATGATTTGAAGAAAGCGAGGATGTGACAGGACCACTTCAGTGTGAGTCGCAGGCAGTCTCTGGACACTGGGTGAGGTGCCAGTTCTCCAGCTGTAAGCCAAAAGGGTTAGACAGTTTCTATCTAATATCTTTAAATTTCACAAGTTGAAATTAAAATCTGCAATGCGATTTTGCATTGTTAACAGATAATGATTAAACAACAACTTTTAAAAGCAGCATCTGTTTGTTTTGAACTGACTCATCTACAAGATGGACTCACAGAGAGCTGTCAAGTGAAATAAACGACAAATAATCAGGCAACCTCCTGTCGGTTTCAGGTTTCCGTTGTTTAAGGGCTCAGAAGAAAAGACCAATCCTTTAATGTTCTTTTCAACTTTGATAATCATTGTGGAAAGCAATTTACATGAGTTTAGCATGTGGTCTCCCGACAGTCATGCTCAAGTTAAAATTGGAACAGAATGAATGGTCTCTATATTTGGGAAGAGATGTTTCTAGAACAGCACCCAGGTAGAGGCAAGGCAACACATTCCCCATACTGAAAATGTGACTAAGCTTCAGTCATGGCACCACATCGTGCAGTGTATGGATAAACAATTTATCAGCATGAGTTCAAATCTGGGAGAAGGAACATTATATGACTTTAGCACAAATGTTAAACTGCGTTATTGAGAGTGTGTGAGAATAGAGACCTGCACATATCAAAAAGAAAAAAAAAATACAAGAAACAGACTGTATTTTGTAAGGGAAAAAAACTGCTTAAGATTAGGTCAGCCTCATTATTCCTATTTTTAAGATTATCTAAATGTGTTCCAGGTGTAACAAAACAGCAATGAAAACAACCCAAACCAATATCTTACCCCTATTTGACTAGAGATATAAAACCAAAAGTATTCCCTGAGTGTGTACTAGGTAGCAGCCACACTTCCAAGATCTGAGAGCATATTCATGAGCAAAACATCCTCACATTTAAGCTTCAAGGTCAAGTGAAAGACGATAAATATATCATTGTAATACAATGTGTTATAGATACATAATGTGCAAAACAGAAGTGAAATCGATTTTCCCTCTGTATGATTTTGGGAAGGATAATCATGGATTTTACAGTTAAAAATAGCTTCTGCAGGAGATGACTTTTGAGCTACAGTTTGAGACATTTAGAGCTGTCCAGCAGGAAAAGGACATAGAAGAAGGAAGTCTGTCTTCTGGATAGACACCTTGAAGGCTATAGAGTGGAAGCTAGGGCGTTTGATGTGAAGACTAGGGGAAGAGTGATGAACCATGGGCAGGCTGGGACTAAATGACAAGAATAATTTCAGTCACAGAGTGGCAGTTCACAATATCTTAAGTGGCAATGTCAGGTAACATCCAGCTCTGGCGGTGGGGAGCTGCAGGTGCTTGGGCATGTTGAGAGGACCCAGGAACTTTCTATCCTTGGGACTCTCTTCTCCTACCGCCCTTGATAATGTTTCCATGATTGTGAACTGACTAGGACAGTTCTGGAATTCATTTGTCATTGTCTAGGCTCCTATTTTTCATCTGATTGTTCAGAACTGGGAAACAGACCCCTGGGTCCATCACTGAGTGAAGGGGGTTAGGATTTTTCCTGGATCTATAGATCTCTTAAATCAAGGAGTTTCTCTCATAAGTCCATAATGAAGCCTACAATCTATTCAGAGGGATAAAGAGGGATGATGGTGCATAAGCATTGATGATGTCTGTCGCCATGGTGAGTCAGTTTTAATTGTGAAAGATTCCTGAGGCAAGGCTAACTGGAAGGGTGTGTATTAAGTTAGAGTAAGAGTAGAGGGAAGGGAAATCAGCAATTAAATGTTGAGTGTGTTCAGTTAGAGGCACTTTAGAACATCCACTTGAGAAGCTGGTGACCACTAGTTTTATAGATCTGGAGCTAAAGAGACAAAGTGTAATTAATCAAGTCTGGAGATCTTTGGTGTGGCAGGAACCATGATATTCAATGATGCTAACCAGGAGACTAAATGATAAGAGAACAGCAAACTGAGATGAGAGGGAAACAGAGACTGGACTTTGGGAAACCCAAATCTATCAGAGAGTGAGAAATGAAGAAGGAACTGTGAAATAGAGAGGGAATAATCAGGTGTCACACATTATATTTTTACTGAATAATTAGTAAATTTCATAAAATGGGTAAACTGTGATGTTATTGAGACTTTGATGTGAATGAATCTTCCAAGAAACTGGGAATATGAATGGAATTTATAAAATAATTTCACTCTCTTCCACAGCAAATGCTGGAAGCATCTTTTTTTGATTATGGCATCTACAATCTGCTCTCCCTGGTTTTTTCAGCTCTGCTTGTAGAGCAGTAAATTGTCTACAGACAGAAAGACATGAATTGAGCTCTTTTAATACCTCTAATTATCAATCTTAGATTATGAAGTAGGTAAAAATGGATAAATAAAGGTGGAAAAAGGTGTTGCATTTAAAAAAAGATTTATTTGTGCTTACAGAACTGGGGTATGGGCCAGAGGTGCAGGGAAAGTGAGGGGCTTCACCAGAGAAAGAATGGGGAACAGAATAGGCAGGTTGATGAATTTATACTGCTGAGGGGAGCAGTGGGTGAGACAGGAGAGGTCTTCTGCACCATGTGGGTCACCTCCCAGGCCAGGGATCAAACTCACACTGAAGTGGCTGTAGCTGGTTTGCAGTCAAGTTGTGTCCTAACCCATTATGCCAACAGGGAGGGTCCGTTGCATTTTTTAAATAAATGTTTGCACTGATACCAAATGAATTCTGAAATGTAGAGTCACCTATATATTATCCATGCAAGTTGAGTTTTGCAAGTGAAAGCGAAGCTATTGACATGAACACTCAGAAGACCCCTATAATTACTGGAGACTTTATAGGGAGTCAATGCTTACAAAATTTATTACTGAAGTTCATATCAAATCCACCCCACTAACTTTGAGGGAAAAGAACAGAAAAGGAAAAATGTTTGTGGTGTCGGTTTGTACTTTTCTAAAAAGAATGTAAAATGTACCAGTTCTATTCTAGAAAAATGTCAGCATTCCTCTAGCAAGTGATTATAAAAGAGGGCTCTCTGGTACAATAGCGCCTTCGGTGTTTTAAGCAAAGAGCTCCTGGAGGAGTAAGTGCCAGTCGACCTGCAGCCACAGCGCACAGGGAGATTGAGACTTGCTGTTTTGGAGCAGATGAGAACGAGTCACTGTTAACTCTTTCTCCTTCTTCTTTTTACACTTACTCTTCATTATATTGTTTCCTCACCAGCGGACCACTGAGCTGCTGGTCACCTGACAGAAAACAAAAATGTAGAACTTTAGCTATAACCACCCCACCCCGACAGCTCAGGGACTCAGCTCACACCTGACAGAAGTGAGGGGGAGATGCAACCTGTGCACCTATAAAACCCCTTGTCTTCCTTCCATGGCTACATTCTGCACCTGGTCTCCTCTCTGCCCTATGTTTCTCTCTCTCTCTCTCTCACACACACACACACAGTTACCAGTCACAGACCATTGCTTTATCAAAAGTAGTTTAGCCTCTTGAAATGATTGTTCTTAACAGCTCTTTTGAGGAATGGAGGAATTGCTCAAGTAAAGCAAAGGAATATGTCAGGAGATCTCAATTCTAATCTCAGTTCTAATGAACATCACCACTGGTTGCTGTGTTACTTTATTAAAGCCACGGTTGTTTAGTAAGCCAGAGACTCCCCAGAGGGTGATTCCTGGCGGCAGTGGAGGGCTGGGATCCAAGTGCTCATGAAAATAGTGGGGAAAGGGGGAAATTATGCAAGCGAGTGTGGTATTAGCAAACATGCTGATTTCAATCACTGAGTCAATCAGCAAATCATTTCAAAGCAACTTGCATCCAACTGTAATGGTTTCTGGGAGACAAATGCACATCACAGGTTGTTTAAAACAGTCTCTGCAGCTCACAGATCTGAGTA